AAAATTGAGTAAACTGAGGGCTCCTGGGTGGCTCAGTCAGTTAAGCATCCTACTGTCGATTTCAGTTCAGGTCATGATCTCACGGTTCGTGAGTTCGAGCCCTACACTGGGTTCTGTGCTGGCCATACAAAGCCTGATTGGGTTTCTCTCTCTCTCTCTCTCTCTCTCTCTTTCTCTCTCTCTCTCTGCCACTCCCCTGCTCACACACTCTATCTCTCTCAAAATAAATAAACTTTATAAATAATGGTAGATACATAGATAGATAGATAGATAGATAGATAGATAGGTAGGTAGTTAGGTAGTTAGGTAGGTAGATAAGGTGGATTGAACTCAAATTGAAAAAGACTATGGTAAAAATAAACAAAAACTCTCAACAAACACCATAAGAAACATATCTACCATTTATGACTTTCTATCATAATGGGTTTATAAATCTGTTCCCTGCATATTTGCAAATTCAAGCCATTTTATGTGGATGACTGCTCTCGGCTTTATGGAAAAATGTTGTATCATTACTAAAGATATTTTCTGAACATCATAGACCAAGTATTGATCTTGGTCTCAAAGTCTTGGACCAAAAAAATACACAAAGACAGAAAGGACCCAGTTAACAGATCTACCCTTATGTTCTCACATATTTCCTCTGTGGTTGTGAATTGTAAATGTGTACCTGATTCCAATTCGATATTCTAATAGCCAGATATCAAATGGAATATTCACCAATATCAAAACAGAAATCATCTTTCTCTCTCTCTTCCACCCATCACTTCGTAGCAAAACCAAACCTAACCAACCCAAACAAAACAGAAATCCCAGGTTTCTAATTATATGCACCTAATGACTACTATCTACCTATTACAGAAATTAGGAATTTCAATCCTCTTTTCCTGTCCTACTGCCCCCAAATCCACTGGCTTTCAACTAATGTCACATGCAAGCACTCTTCCTGTCCTTCTGTCACTGTCTCATTTATCTTTAATAGTACTTGCCTTCGCCTGTAGTAACTCCTTCTTCCTTTTCTCTCCCCCCATTGGAATTCATCTTCTGTAGTTGTTACAGCTTCTTTACTAAAACACACCATGACACATGTCAATTTAAAAGCTCATGGAGCACCTGGATGGTTCAGTTGGTTAAGCATCCAACTTTGGCTCAAGACAGACCTCATGGTTCATGAGTTCTAGCCCCATGTCAGGCTCTGTGCTTACACCTCAGGGCCTGGAATCTACTTTGTATTCTGTGTCTCCTACTCTCTCTGCCCTCCCCTACTCATGCTCTGTCTCTCTGTCTCAAAAATAAACATTAAAAAAAATTAGAAGCTCACAATGACTGCTCACAGATTGCAGAAGACACATATGTCAAGACCCTTCGTAGTTTGGAGTCACTATTACCTCTCAACATTATCATCCCACAGGATCTCTCTGCTACATCCAATATACAATTCACCTTTGAATTTCCAAGCATTTCTTGGAACCTTCCCTGTTTCTGTCTGAAAACCAACAGATCATCCTTAATTTTCCCATTGCTTGCACTGTGAAATTAGCCATATATCCTGCATTCAGTGTAGTAGTTTAGGAAATATCTTAAGAGATTTTCCAAGACAAAGTTTTCACAGGAAAACTCAAATTGACTCAAATACCTTATAATAAGTTTCAGCTCCATAGTCTAGCTATCAAGCAAGCAATCCCAAGCAGTGTGCTTTTCCTTCCCAATTACAAATTTTGTAATGGCACATGGTCTCAGCAATAGTGGATATGGAAAAGGTTTGGTGAATTGATTTTCACTAGGGTCTTTTTATACTATTCTATAAATGTACCTACTTCTAGTAAGTGCAGAAAAAACTGAACTTCAAGAGATATCTTTTTCTCCAGCATTTAAAAAGATTTCCATGCCATCCATGTTTTGATTTTTACTTTTAAAAGGGACCATTAATGAGTAAATAATAAGCTATAGTTGGTTCAATAAGACTAATAAAATAGATGAAATGTATCTAATTCCATAGATATTTTTCCTTTCTTTATGTTTCCATTCTCTTCTCAAGTCAGAGTCAATTCAAGTGTTTTAATAGGCAAAATAACCCTTAAAAAGCTTGATTTTCTGCTGAACAGACTCAAGTGGAATCTCTCTAAGTTGCTTTGTTTTCCAGTTTCTATGATAGTGCCTGAGCAGTTTTAAAAGTAAAAATTCACATAAAGATATTAACTGCATAACATTACTTTCCTTGATTATAAATTTTATATTTTATTTTAGTAGTATGAGATTTCAGTTGTCCTTTTATGGCTTTTAAAATTTATTATTTCTTCCTTCCCAAGTTTCATTTTCCATTATGTTTAATTTTATATTGTTTATTCTCAAAAAGATCCCAAACCTTTTCCTAAATGCTTTGTACTTCTATTCATTTCTTCTTTATACTTAAACTGTATTCAATGTGCTAAAAAGACCTCTGTTTGCATTTAGCATATAATAACAATCTTTTCTAGTAATAGACTATAATTTTATGAGAATTGAAATAAAATAAATCAGATTGAAATGATATGACTTATCAAGCATTAGCTATTCAGATCTATATTTGTTCTAACAAATGGGATAGAAAATATTATGCTACATGAATTCAGAAGTAGGAGCAATACATTTTCTACTAAGAAATATTCAGCATCAATTTAGATAAATTAATTACTTTTATGTGTTTAATTAAAATAAAATGCTATGAAGGCATTATATTGAAACATTTCTAAAGAAAACAAATTTCTAAAATTAAAAGTTTATTTTGATGAAATGTTTCATGAAATTTCCAGAAGCAAAAAAAAAAAAAAAAAAATTTCTTATGCTAAATAGAATTATAAAGAACATCTCTTTAATTATTATATCCAACTAAATGGATATGCATTTTAAAGTACATACCTTATTTTTATTAAAGAAAGATCTTATACCTAAAGGCTCTATTTAAGAGACAATATGAAATTTAAAACCTTTGGCTTTCCATTGCTTGTACAGTTACTTGCAAACTATTAAGTATAGCATTCAAGGCCCTTTACAGTCTGACTCCTACCTTCCCTCCAATCACCTCTCACTGAATTCTCTAAATGTGACTTGAAGATTTGTGCCTCTGCACATTTACTGATACATTCTTGCTTCATATAATAAGCAAGTCAGTTTAAAAATAACTTTAATTAAAAACACATGTACTTTATGTGTGTCAGCCAATCCAGGTGATAGAGGATATAACAATCATTAATAGAGACAATGAACAGTAGATTCTCTATTCTTCAATGACTTTCAAGTCTGGTAGAGGGAGACAGACAATAAACACAAATCAATAAGACAGGCTTATTGTCTTATTGGGACAATATTCCAGAAGGTGTTTGGGTTTGGGGGGGGGTTTATATTTAATTGGTGGGTTGCTGCTTTTGGAGTTTTTTGTTTGTTTTGTTTGTTTATCGACTAGGATGATCAGGGAGAACTTTGTAAAAAGGTGGCATTTTGCATTTAGATTTGAATATTGAAAATGATTCAAAATTCTAGAAGAAAAGCAAAAACAACAACAACAACAAAACCAGTGGGTGTAAAAGTACTTGTGATTGGAGTAAGTCCAGTGTTTCTGAGGAAGAAAAAGGCCAGTGTAGCTGGAACTTAGTGAGCATGGAGTGAAGGAGTATGAGATGAGATTAGAGTCAAGAGGGACAAAATTGTGAAATGCCTTGTTGGCCATGATTGAAAATTAGGATTATATTCTGATTGTAATAGAAACCCATTTGAGGAATTGAGCAAAGAAGATGTGTGATTTGATTGAAGCTTTACAAAGATCAGCATGGCACTTCTGCAGAGAAGGGGTTTTAGATGGACAGAATGAAACAAGAACACCACTTCAGAGATGATTGCATAAATAAAGATAAGAAATGATGATGGCTTTGTCTAGGATTGTATCTATGTAAATGTTGAGTGGTCAGATTTAGGATCCATTTGGAGGAAAAGCCTTGAGGATGGAAAGAATTTGTTGTGAGAGCCAAAGATAAGAATCAAGAAACTTTCCAAAAAATTGGATTTTACTAACAAGATGGATAGTGGCAAAATTTTCTCACATAGAGAAAATTTGAAGAGGAGTAGATGAAAAGAATCAGAAATTTGACACTGGCAGCAGAAAGTTTGAGATCCCTATTAGGCAATCAGGTGTAGGCAGTTGGATACATAAATCATATGTTCAGATAGAGCTATATTTTTAAGAGTCTTCACTGCATGAAGATATTTAGAATTTAGACACTGGTTGAAATAATCAAGGAGAGAATATGGAAAAGAGACAAGAACACAGAATTAATCCTGGAACACTTGAACATTTACAGATTAAGTATGGAAGGTGAGCCTACAAAAAAACCTCAGAGTGAGCAACCAGAGAGGTGAGAAGGAAACCAAATGCAAGAAGTACCACAGAAGTCTAGAAAAAAGAAGAAAAGAGGAGTCCATTGTATCAATTCCACTTAGAGGTCAAGTAAAATTGGAATAGAAAACTGAACATTGGAATTAGCAAGATATAGGTCGTTAATCAGATCTGTTTCAGTAATGTATTATGTGCAGCCTCATTGGAGTGATTGAGGAGAGAATAGGGGTTAGCAAAAGGAGATGCAAGTTCAGACAGTTACTTCAAGAAGTTTAGTTGCAGAATGGAAGAGTGAAAAGCAGGCAGAAACTTGATGGGGATATGGTGTCAGGGAAAGGATTTTTAAAATGGCTAATTTCAAAACATATTGCAAGCTGATGGGAATGATCTAGTAGAAACAGAGAAATAAAGATGCAGAGGAGAAGAGAATTAATTATAAGACCAAATGCTTGAAGGGGTGAGGAAATGGGGTGCAAAGCACAAGTAAGGAATGTGGCTATAAAAGCAAAAATTCTTCTAACATGGAAATATAAGGGTCTTAGAGAAAATGGGATATAAACATAGATTGCTGGCTAGGGAGTGGAAAAATAAGAACATTCTCAATTAATTGCTTTGATTTTTCTCTATGAAGTGTGAAGAAAAGTCATTGCCTGAGAGTAAATAGGAAATGCTGGAGACTGGAGGAGATGTGAGAAAGTGTGAAAGAGTAAGTTGTCTTATAGAAGGGGAGGTGAATTTCAAGGGTTTTGTCATGGTATCATCTGGTAGTGCTGACTGTCCAGTTGAAATTTAAGGTTATATATTTAAAGGGAACCCATTCAGCAAAGTTGAGTCATCTACTTCAGAAAGTCAGATACTTTGCTACAGACCCAGCAAGAAACAGCTGGCTGGGTGTTGCCAGGCATTCCCAGTGGAGGCGGGAGGAGCAAGGGAACTCAGGCTGGTTATAGGAGAATGCCTGGGGTCAGGGACTATAGAATTTCAGATAGAGAATGGAGATAATTAAGGATATGAAACAGGAAAGAATGCCTATTTGTTCCTCTCTCTTTTTTGATATACAATCAAAATTAATCTTTAAAATACAATCCTATGACACTTTCTCTATAAAAGTGTCTCTGGACACTTAAGGCACAAGTAATTATTCCTTACTCTTTGCTACCGCAACATTGTGTGCAATTCCTCTGTGATCGCCTTTATCACATTATATTGGATTTGTTGTCTAAGAGTATGTCCCCAAGACTGTAATTGTTTAATGAGAAGAACTGTGTCTTGTTATCTTTATATTCACAACAATGTGGGGCATGAGGAAAGTTTACAAAGAGCATTTGCTGCATAAAGGCAGACAGTGCAGTATACAAAGAAGGACCTCAGTGCCTAGAACAATGCCAGACATGTGGTGGGTACCTGGTGAATATCTGATTGATTCTAAGGATCAAAAATGAATAGACCGTTAAAGTCTGTGATATTTTCTCATTAAATGATCTGTCCACTGCAGCTGCTCTTGATTATTTAGAACTTAAACATAATGCACATTGTTTTTCTTTTCTCTCATTTCACCTGCATACTTTTTGGTCATTCCACTTAATCTTAGTCTGGAAGAGAGTGTATTACAGGTGTCAAATTGATATTGTTGTCTTTTGTTTTTGTTTTTTTTTAAAAAAAAAACATTGGCAATATAAAGACATGGCTTAAACTGACACTGTAAGTTATACATGGACTTTACTTTCTTGGATTAGTTAATTTAATATGTTATTTATTTCAATCGGAGACATAAATATCAACTCTGTATATATTCTTTGATTATGTTTCCTTATAAGAATATTTATTATAATACTTTTTATGGAATGAATTTCCATAGAATTATGTAAAATGAATTTGTGTTCTAAAGAAAGAAATAACGAAGGCACAGTGTATTATGAGGCAATATGGCCTCTTCTAGATTGCCAAATGTTGTTGCCGGGGAAGCAAACCATTTAAAACACTTTGTAACTGAATATCCAAAATGCAGTTATAATTTGCTACAGACATATTTTACCAAAGTTTCTGTGGCTTGCTAAATGAAATGTTTACAAAATCTTCCAATCATCCATGAGACCCAAATGTGACTGCTGCCCATCCCCCTGATGAGATAGCTATCATGAAAACAATAAAGTGAACAAAAACTGCTAGTATGAAACACAGGGTGTTCCATTGTTGTACTGAAGGAACCATTATTTAGTGGCTTGTGAACCACTGAAAATTATAAAATAACCCATGTTTTAATGGAATTGTGTTCTACTTGAGTTATTAAGAAATTAGCACCTTTTATTTTTTCTTTTAGATATAATTCCTGATAAAAAAAATTTGTGCTTAAAATAAGTAGTTAAACTGTTATAAGAAGAAGTATGCTGAAAGAGTCTAATCCAAGATGAAGGCAGAACTAAAACTTGGCAAATTGTGGAAGAAAGTAAATGAAAAATATAAACTCAATTGATAAAGGCAGTGAACTCCTGTGACCGTTTACAATAACAATGAGAAAACTGAAATTCTTGCTTCAGTTGTGATTCAGTAATTTACATAATATTTTGTATATTCCTTATTAAATATAATGATTAACATTCAATATTCATTCATAAGTAAAGTTTACTCCCTTAGAAAATCTAGCAGACCTTCCACTTATAAGGTTATGGATAGATAATACAAAATCCCATTAAATAAACTGATTATGTTTGATATTCCTATTCTGCCTGCAAAATAAGTATTAAATAAGTAAAGCAACATAGTTTTGTTTTAACTCTAGCCTGTTTATAAATTGAGACTTTGGGTATAATTATAAGATAATTCTAGCCTGCTAATGACTTGAGACCTTAGTTATAATTGTAACAAGGATAATTAAGTTCCATAAGTCACTTCCATTGTTTGTTACTTTTTTCCATTTGTATTTTAAAATAGAAATAAACACTGATTTATTTTCACTGTGATTACTAGACAAATGAAAACAGGAATATGATTTTTTGTTATGTCATACAGTATTTTTAACCATCATATTTAGGATGACTTGATATAATGGGAATCCAGAAATTCTTAGTAGTTTCACACAGAATAAAATTATTGCTTGACAAGTATGCAATAAGAAATAAATATTACTTTAAAAAAACAATAGTAGTTAGATTAGTTGTTCCAACAGTTTTAATAGTAAAATTAAGTTATTCAAAATTCAAAGCAAATTTCCAAAATATACCTGTCTTTTAAAAAATCAAAAATTCTATTGATAATATATGTTTTTAAGTTTACAAAATAAAATCTGAATTCTTTTTCCTTAACTCAGCCTACATCTGGAGGAGGAAAATCACAATGACCAAGTGGAAAGGACTTTAATGTGGGCAAACATTATTTCAAATCTCTTTCACTACTTAGTACCTGTGTCACTTAGAGCAAATGAGTTAGCCTCTTCACACTTCAGTTTCCTATATGTCTCATGTATTCAGGCATAATAGATAATACAATACTTATATCATACCCAGTAGTTTTTGCACATAGTTGGTGCATGATAAATGAAAGTGCTTCTTAAGCTTCAGAAGGAGGGAACAAAAAAGAAACCCAGAGAAACTTCTCACAGGGAATCAAATATCGCAGTGGTTTTTGCTCAAGATAAGAAGAAATTCAGAGAGAAGGGGACCTTAGCCATCGGCTACACCAGTGTTAGCATGCCAAATCACTCCTGGTCTTCTCTTTTCCCTTTTTTCCTTTCATCCTTTCAGTTGGAAACTTTGCCAGGGCCTCTGGTTTCCAAGTTTACCAATTCTGCCAATTCTGCTCCTGCTTTGTATCTCACAGAGTGGCAGTTACACAGCAGGGGCCAGGTAACAACTGCTCAGGAAGCCAAAGTACCAATATTAGAATCACCCCCCTACACACACACCCCGGCCCACTAACCATAAGTCATAAGATATTTGCACTAAATTTGCCATGGCACAAGTGCTCGTTTTGCATTTCCTGAGTTATCTGACTTGTGGTTCCTTAGGAACTGTTCTCTGAGTCCTTTTATTGATTGTAGTAACCTCTTCAATGCCTGGAATCCTTTCTTGCAGAGTTGAATAATTGTTATTCAAAACTTGTTAAATAAATAAAGACATGTCATTAGTTTTCACAGAATGCATATTTTTAAAAAATTTTTTTTAATGTTTTATTTATTTCTGAGAGAGAAACAGCATGAGCAGGGGAGGATCAGAGAGAGAAGAAGACACAGAATCCGAAACAGGCTCCAGGCTCTGAGCTGGCTGTCAGCACAGAGCCCGACACGGGGCCTGAATCTACAAACTGTGAGATCATGACCTGAGCTGAAGTCGGACGCTTAACCGACTGAGCCACCCAGGTGCCCCACAGAATGCACATTTTAACTTGGAACCGGAAGTCCTGGTGATACACTTATAGCATAAGTTCAACCAGACAGTATTTGTAGGTATACTGCTGTGCTCTGTACTCCAAATCAGACATCATGTGTCTCATATGCTCATGTTGAAATCTGGTAAACTTAATTAAGTCAAAAACTTTATGAATCAAATCCCTGAGTATATATATGGGTCATTAATGTGACTGAAGAAAGATGTGTCTGTTTATAGAAACAGTGTTTGAAAATTGTCCAATTATTGGGGCACCTGGGTGGCTCAGTCGGTTAAGCGTACAACTTCAGCTCAGGTCATGATCTCATGGGTTCGAGTCCCCCATCAGGCTCTGTGCTGACAGCTAGCTTAGAGCCTGTGCCTGTCTTTGGAATCTGTGTCTCCCTCTCTCTCTGACCTTCCCCTGCTCATGCTGTCTCTCTCAAAAAAAAAAAAAAAAAAAAATTAAAAATTAAAAAAAAGAAACTTTTCAAATTATTATTTTTGGTTCACATAGTGGATAATTAAGATCTGTATATTTATGCTATTGCTAATATTTCTACTTTTTATGATACTTTTAAGGTCAAGTATTCAACTTTCTTTGTTATTTCCGTGTTTAGTTGATAGTAAATATAGCACATTTTATGCAAGGTTTAAGATCTATTATGTTTTCAAACTTTTCTTGTCTTAAAAATACAATGGCATTACTTGAATAACTATGAAGACCACATAGAAATAAACTCAAAACCTTTATTTAGAATTATATCTGGCTAATATAGACAGGTTGTTCTTAGCTAGAATGCTGTGGCACATGAGAACCCCATCAGCATTTCAAAAGCATGCCAAATGCAATTAACATATAAATGTTATTTTTGCTTTAATGGGACATCCATATTATTATGACAGTGAGCATCAGGCAGAACACTGTCCTGACCGGGGACTCCGACAGTGAGTGGAGTGGGACACAATTTCCATAACCAAGAGGACAGAGTATACAGTCAGTCAAGCCAGTACCGAAAGAAGATGGCATTACTATTGAAACAAATGATAATTTTTTCTCCTGAATATATTCTAATTCAGGTAAAGGCAGAAAACATTATTATTCAGACAAAAAGTGAATAAGGATGAATAAGGAATAATTTAATGTTATGAACGCTTTCATAAATACCATGCGATAGTGTTACACTCTCATAGTTATTGCATTGAATTACTGCTGACTTGTTTAATGTGCCATGAATCTTTTAATATGTCCAAAGCATGCTACCATAATTTATAGTATGAGAAAACCTAGAGAAAATACAAAAAGAAATACAAATCTCAGCCTAAA